TGCACCCCTTGGAAGGAACCTACACTGGAACAGTTCATGGAGCCCAGGGGAAGAACTCACATTAGAGAAGTTTCTAGAGGATTGTCTCCCATGGCAAGGGTCGCATGCTTGGAGCAGAGAAATGTGAGGAGTCCTCCTCTGAGAAGGGAGCAGCAGAGACAATATGTGATGAACTGACTGCAAACCCCCATTTCCCATCCCCCTGCACCACTGGGTGGAGGAGGTAGAGAAAATTGTGAGTAAAGTTAAGCTCAAAAAGAAGGGAGGGGTTGGAAAAGATGTTTTTAAGATTTAGTTTCTATTTCTCATTATCCTATTCCAATTTGATTTGTAGTAAACTAAACTAACTTACTTGAGTCAAGTCTGTTTACCCATGAGAGGAATTGTGAGTGATCACTGCCTGTTCTTACCTCAACCCATGAGCCTTTTGTTATATTTCCTTTCTTCCATCCAGCTGAGAGGGGAGTGATACAGTGGCTTTAGTTGGCACCTGCTGTCCGGCCAGGGTCAACACACCACACAGGGAAACTACTTTGCTTGAAACTTAAAGAACTGTTGTTTTCAATGGTCCTTTGCCACAAGATCCCCAAAATCACTGCTTTCTTGTATTTAATAGTTTAAGGAGCAAGAACTTTTCATCAGATTGTCCTCCAGGATGCCATTTTGTTTCATTGGGTTATTGTTTTAAGCACAATTAGATCAAATGACTTAGCTCAAGTGGCTAGAGTGGCACTTGGCATATGGATGATGGCATAAGTGTGACAATAATTCATGTAATTTTTATGATTTTCAGAAGTTAGGGAATGTAAACTGTTTTATATTATTTAGAGAAGACAAAGTTGTTTTTTTTTTTTATTTGGTTAAAACAAGTTAGAAGACATCTTGCATCAGCTTATGGTCTTGTTTCTAACTTTTCATGAAGAATGTTAATCATGTTTCTATTAAAACATAGTTATCCAGCAATCTTACATTTTGCATTTTTCAAATTGTACAGCTTTCTGCTTTTAGCCTGCATATACAACTCCAGCCACACTTACTTAAAACACACTAAAGTTAATCACTGTTAAAAAGGATTTGCTGCGATCTGCAATATGCCTTTACTTAGAACAAGAAGACTTAACTTTTTAAATCTCCTGCAAAAAGGTTGCATTCTTGTTATTAAAAAAAATTGTAAAAACCAAAATACTAAGGTAAAATAGTGTACTAAGAGATTTAATAGGTTCTGCAGTTCCATAATTTACACTACATTAAGATTGCGTATTCTCAATTAAAAAAATACCCTTCTGTCCCTCAGGCTACTGTCACAATTTTATTGTATCTTTTTAGTCAAATATCTAGAATTTTTTAAAGAGGTAATACTACTTCCTCTGTCCATATCCAAATTCTGTAACAGTTCCAATAGTTAGAGAATCACAGTTGTCTTATTTAACTCCAGATTTCAGATAGGGTTTTCACACAAACTCAAAAAACCTTTCCTTTTGACATAGAAATATATTCCTGTATCATCAAATGTAAATTTACAAAAGAAAGACAATGGCTCTGCATGATTCTCTGAGGCACTTTGATTTTCCTCTGCTGCCTGCCTGCTCTTAGGGCATAGGCTGTTTTATCCCTCTAATAGAGAGTAGAGAGATGATCAAAGTTGTGGTGGTCCTCAGTTCACACTTTTACCTAAATAAGTGCCCTGAGCAGTCCCATGGGACTTGATGGTATTGCTGTATTTAAATTGAACTTGAACAGCTGCTTGATATTTAACAGAATGTTTGGGGTCTGTGTTTCTCCAAAATGAGATTATAGCATGAGAGAATGTGATAGAACAGTGCTCTAGCAAATAAAGAACTTGAAAATAAAAAGGTAAGTGGAATAGTAACATAGGACTGATGAACCCCACCTTTCTGTCACTGTGTCAAATTCAAGAGAGGCTGGAATGTTGGAAAAACCTTGTCCCTGACAAAATCAGGTGAGACATGTTATCATAAGATATTTCTGAAATGGCATTGAAGTCCTGTGCTTAGGCAAAAACTATTTTCTATTATGTAACTGGCTGTGATTTTTTCCCCCTACCTTGTCTTATTTCATCAGTTTACCCAAGAAAATTCTCATAATCCACTTTACTCCCTAGCGTCACGTTAAGAGTTAACAGACGAGAGCTGCCTGTGCATAGTTTCAGTCCATCTGTTTGAGGATGGTTTTGCTCAAATTCAGTTCCCTGGCCTATGTCACCTCAGTGACTTGACTGTTCCTGACTCAGTGCACAGACTGCTCCTCCCAGGCTTTATCACATACTGCAGTGTTTTCATTTTCTCAGGCATTAATGTTCTCCACTCACAATTGCTCTTTTTTTGATCACCCTTCACTCTTTTCCTGCTTCTTCACTGCCTGCACTTAATGAAATGCCAGTGCACTGCTGTCCTCCTCTGTTCACTATTTTCCACTGACCTGTACCTTCCTTACATCTTTTCCACCTACTCTTTCACTTAGCAAACAGATAAAAGAGAGTATTGGAAATTAAGGGCAGTGGGATTTTTTTAATCTGTTAAAAGCATTAATTTTGTAACCTAGATTTTCCTATCATTTGATAAAAAGAAATGGAAAAAATGTCTCAAAATACAAAACCAAAATCCTTTCATCTTGTAAGTGTTGCAATCTCATGTTTGAAAATAAATCATCTGTTCCTACAGAATCCTCTAGCTGATTTTGACCTTAACTCATTTTTTTATGGAAAATTCCCCAGAACCACAGAATGGGTAAGGTTGGACATGGCCTCGAAAGATTGTGTAGTCCTATACCTCTGCTCGGACCTTGAGCAGGTTCCTCATGGTCATGCCCAGTTTGATTAAAAACTCCACAGTCTTGCTGGAAAACCTGTTCCAGTGTTTGACCAGCTTCACTGTAATTAAAAATAAAATTTTATTTTAAAGATTAATTTATTTAAATTCTCACATTGATTCTAATCCTGTCACTTGGCATCTCTGAGAAGAATGAGTGTCTTTAGCCTACTCATCACTTATTCTAGACATTCTGCTGTGCCCCAATCCCACACCACTTCTCTTAAGGCAAAAACTTTTACTCTCTCTTGTTCTGAAGTCCTTGTGCCCTCTGTAAAATCAGAGGAGACTTAAGTCTGAGCTCCAAGATCCCTGAGGGCTTTTGGTAGTGTTGCTGTTCATAGTTACCCTTTTCCTACTTTCTCAGCTACTATGTGTTGCTGTAGAAAAGTATGATATACTTAAGATTAAAAGGCTGCTTTCCTGTAAGTGACTTGCATGTGCTGTAGCTGTTGCTGTGATGCTTTCAGGGAAAAACAAAGAAGCTGGTGTTTTGAATGGCACCTTAGAAGAATGATGACCAGAAGGTCATCCATCCATTGCTAATCAGTATGTGCTGCCTTAATGTTTGTTTACTGACATCTCAATGGGTTCCTAACACTTGTTTTGTTGTCTTGTGCATTTATTCCACATTTTCTGTCAGGCTGCCTCTACCCTAACAGTTTCTTCCCTTCAGGGAGTGTCTGTCAGATATACTTCATGGCTTGAGACATTATGGCAGTGAAAGAGCTGATGTGACCTTAGAGATTCTTTGCCAGTTAGAACTAGCTTGTTTGAAATTCAGATTAATTTCTCTTTCCAAACAAGCTGTCCTTGTCATTGCTGTTAGGTTATGGAATTCTAAATGAACTTCTTGCATAAATAAAAAGATGTAACTTGATGGATGTTAAACTTGAGATCTTGTTTTTCCTTCACAAAGCATGTAGATACATGCTTTTTATGCCATCACTCAGCAAACAAACTTACTGTAGGAGTTTATGGTAAAGGTCAGGTCCATTCTGAACTTTCTATGTAGTAATTATCCTTTAACAGAGCAAAGAATTAAAGCCTCTCTACTTGAATAGATTTGCTTTTCTGATTTGTGTTCTTCCTCCTCCATCACCCCAGGCACTCAAACTTCAGTTACTTTTATGTTGTCTTTCACAGAAGTTTATTATGCAAGTTTTGTTTGCTGGGATGCTGCAAATCTCATTGTTCACCTCAAGAAGGAAGTTTTCCAGAAGGAAAAGGAGAAGGAAGCTGGTTTTTCTTCCTCAAGAAGGAAAAGTTTTCCTTTCAAGAAGGGAGTTTTCCTACTATGAAAACTTTCATAAATGCCTCTTACATTTATACATATGTTTCATAGATACTCTTCCATGGTATTTTCTCTGTCCAGTAAGTATAAGAAAGGGGATGCAGAGGAATGGAAAGTCTGTAATTTCCATGGTGTTTTTATCTGGATTCTGGGTAACAAACTGAATCCTGTCCCCCATCTACAAGTTTGCATCAGCATCCAGCAAGGTGTGGAGGCCAGTGCTGTGCTGGTGCTGAAGAGGTGTAGCCAGATGTTTGAACTCACCTCTTTCTCTCCTATTTTTATTTTATTTATTGCCCTAATCAATATTTGATAGCACAATTGTATAAAGAGAAGACCAGCTGTTCAGTTTGAAAAGAAATAAGTAAAATTGAAATGTTTACTTGGCTCTCAAGTGAGAAGTGTCCCAAAGTACCTTGTTTAAAATGGTTGCTGTTGGACATAACGCCGAAGGAAATGCCAAGCTGTGGAAGAATTCTGCACTTTGAAATTTATGAGTGCATATCTGGCTGCCTGTCATATTGATATAAATCAAGATCTGAAATTTGTCTAAAATAAGCCTCTAGATGTAGCAACATCTGCCTATTTTTTCTCCTATTTTTAATCTACTCACGTCCTCTGCAATTTGACAAATAGATTTTTATATTTGAAAATGCTTGAATAAGAATAAGCAAAGTATATTCTATTTTATCAAGGATTTTTCATCATTCACTACAGATTGGGAACCAGCAAATATGGTGTTAGAAATAGGAGCTGTTAACAATAGTGTAGTCTCTGGAATGTATCTGAAAAAGTCTTCTTATAAATGAAGCTGTAGTCAACTATCTGCTGAATACAAAACCAGCAGATTAATGCTAATTTTATCTGACCTTGGTGGAATGGCATTCACTTTGGTAATCATGGGCTTCATAGCAGGAGTTAATTAATTGCCTCAATCTGAAATTAAAAAGAAAGACTTGCATAATCTAGCTCTAAAATTTCTCTAGACAGTCAGGGCAGAGCTGACTCACTGTCAAGTTGCCATCGACCAAGGCCCCCAGGTCCCTTACTGCAGTGCTGCTGTCCAGCCTGTTTCCCAGTCTGTCTGTACAGCCAGGGTTGCTGGACAGGTTGCTGTCCCAGGTGCAGAATCCAGCACTGCTCTTGGCCACAGTTCGTACAAGTGGCGATCGCCCAGTCCCCTCACTTGTCCAGGTCTCTCTGCAGGGCCTCTCTGTCTTAGACACAGGCGACAGCTTCTCACAGCTGATTACCACCGGCCAGCAGACAAATTACGTTCTTGGGACGGATTCCTGAGGCTGCCGCAGAAAGCGGTATCTGTTACCCTCGAAGCCAAACCTTTGCTTGCAAAGCCGTTCCTTCGGCTCCCCGAGCCCAAAGCGGGCGGCGGGGGCCGTGTCCGGCCTGGGCCTCTCGCCCTCGCCCCGGAGCCGCCCGCGGCCCCTCCCGCGGCCCGCGGGGTCGCCCGGCAACGCGGCGGACGCGGCGGCACCGACCCGCGGCCATGGCCTCCAAGGCGGGCAAGAAGAAGGAGGTCTCCAGCCGCCCCTGCACCTCCTCCAAAACGTGAGAGCCCCGGGAGAGCGGGAGGGACGGTGGGCGCGGGAGGATGGCAGCCTGCTCCGGCCGGCCCGGCAGGGGCTGCGCGCCCGGAGCCACCGCCGTGCCCGGCCTGGGCTGCTGCGGCCGGCCGGGAACCTCACCCGAGGCTTCCCTGCCTGGCACCGGCTGACACGGGTGCGTGCCCTTAAGGGCCGTGCGGGCAAACAATTTATGCTCAGAAAGTTCACTCGCTCGTGTGGGTGCTTCAGTAAAAGTGGTTGCTAAAGCCGAGGAAGGGTTTGGTTGTTCTTGGGGTTTTGTTTGTTTGTCCGAACTGGGGGCCCGGCTTGTGTAGAAGTTGTGCTCCCTCCCTCTGAGGTCCTTGGGGCGTTCCTGCCGGGCAGCGCCATCCTGCCCCTCCGGGCCGTGCGTGTCCTGGAGCACCCCTGGTCTGGCAGGGAGACCTCGGACCTTGGGCACAGCAAGCGAAACGAAGCCTTCAGCTGCTGCTCGGGAGCTATCAGAAGTTAAAAGCTCACTGACATTATTTTGGGTTTAAAAAACCCTCGAACCTGTCAACCAAGTTAATTTTGGGAATGGGGATGCTCTACTTTCATCAGGGAGAGGAACCAAACTAGCTGCAGTTTTGGAGGCAAAATGATTAATGATGGTTATAGCACATCAGTTTTCCTTACAGAAAGGAAAGAAAATTCCCAGTGTCTGGAAGGTTTGCTTTATGTGTTGAAGAATCTGAGGAAAGCAAGTATGATAAAGAAAATAATTCTTCATGTTAATTTCTTACATATTTCTGTGTATGTAGCATCTCTTGAGTTATTTTTATATTATTTGCTATTTGCTGGGTGTTTAGTGTGAATTTGTGTATTTCTGTGTAAACGTCTATTTCTTCCTGAAAAGACAAATAAATGGAGAACATTGACATTCACTGTTACTGTTTTGACTTGTGAGTTCTGTTTCTATGGTGTTAGCATTCTCATCCTAATGTATGCCTGAATGCATGGTGCTGTCAGGATTCAAATGAAAAAGGTATCTCATGTATGTGCTTATGGCCTTTGCTTCTTTTTCTGTTCTGCCATACATGAAGGTTTCAGTTGTATCACTTATTTCTCTCCCAAAGTCAATCTCAAATGCCACTTTGTGCTTATTTCATATCTAGTTACCCAGCCTTTACTACACAGTAGTTTCTTATATTTTCATGTTTCTGCTTTATGTTTCACACCTTGATTTCCATTTTGCTAACTTTTCTGTTGTAGGCTGCCAGTACCTAGTTCCTTCTCCCCACTGCAGCCTTTGCTTAGTAACTCTGTTGTTGTTTTGGCCAGGGAAGTGGTCACAACACCAAGCCTGAGAGAGTTCAAGAAGTATTTGGACACCATTCTTGGGCACATGGAGTGACTCTTTGGGCATCCTGTGCAGGGCCAGGAGTTGGACTTTGATGATCCTAGTGGAATCCAACTCAGAATATTCTCTGATTCTCTTTGATATTCATTCATTCTGTTCATTCTGTTACGCGGCTTGTTCAGGATGTTTATGAGGCAGAGACAATTACTGTAAAATTTTGTATAAATGTATGAAAACCTAAGTAATGTAACTGTTCCTGTATTTGAAAGAGAAATGGATATTTGCAGCCTGCCTGAGAAAATGTTGTCTTGTAAGTTTAGTATTCTGTTGTAATTGCAAAATAGTTTTTCTGTTTTATTTTAAAACAAAGCTTGCAGTTGCAGGGACAAAAATGTTAAAAATACTTTGTCTTTTGACTAATACTGTCCTCCTGATAGTAAACGTGACTTGTTTTTTATGTGTCTCTAATATTCAAAATACTAAATAGAAATATAAGTAGTAAAAAAAAGAAAAATACTAATTTTTCTTTAACAATTTGCAAAAAAAATCCTGAAATCTGTCCATGCTTACCAAAAAAGAATTAGTGTTATAATTTCATCTGTTGTGGATAATTAATGCAGAAATCCTCTGAGAGTAACGTGTACAAACATCTGTGCAATATCTTTTGATCACCTTAAAATCACTTTTCTCAATTTCTAGTGAAATCAGGCTTCTTTTTTTTCCTCCACAAGTGTTTAGTAGAGTCAGGACAGTACATCTGCACTGTGGAAAATCGATCAGGATTATGGGTGGATTTATTGCATTGTTAGAGAGGGACCTCAGAAACATACGGAGAAGGCAGGAAAATTCCTCTGGACTTGCTAGCCAGACTTCCCTTGGGTCTCTGCAGGATACTCCATTGGGTCTCTCTTCATTATTGCTTTCTAATTAGCTAGCAGTTCCCTCAGGATCTAGGCAGCTGCTGGAGATGATGGGCTGAAGAGCTCAAAAGAACTGCTGCCCTTACAGCTTTTCTGAAGTGCACCATTAGCAGCTACTGAGAATCTGATCTTTCCCAGATTTCAACAGCTATGGTGAATAGGAATTGATGTCTTTGGTGGCACTGGAAGAGATTCTGGCTAGTGAGAATGGGTAATGAATTAAAATGCTTTTAAATTAATTTGATGAAGCTCTATGCTGTCAAGCATCTGAATTAAGCCATCAGCATCTATCTCAAATGGGGTTTCAGCTGTTAGGGACAAAAATGAGTTAATGGTCAATGCCAAAAGAGGCAAGTGATTTAGGGGTAATTGTGGTACAGACAGAGATCACCAATGTATATAGGGGAAGGTCAGAGCCATGCTGGAGTTATTTTTAAAGAGGTCACTAACTAATATGTACTGCTGATGTATCCTTAAGGACCAGCAGAGACAGGCTGAAGCCTGCACTGGCTGGAAGAAATTGTTTTTTAACTGTGTGCCTGGTTGATTGCAATCAGTAGCAGGTTGCTGCTCCAATGCCTAGGATTACCTAATATTTGTTATTAACATTAAAGGATGGGACAATAAGAGCAGAAAAAAAATAGTGGCATTGCTAGTTCATTCTTCAGTTCTCGTATGCCTAGAATAAGGTTTCAGCCATGGCTTGTGAGGTTTTATCCACTGCCAACATCTGTTCTTTAGGTTTGGTAGTTTAGAGAATATAGACTGACCAGATTAATTTTTTGATGTTTTGGGTTTTTTAGATAGGCTGAAGATTGAGAGTGGTAAGAACTCATGACTTGTGGGTAAGAGCATGGTAATTGAGCTTGAAGCTTTTAGTAGACCTCTCATGTTAGTTAACATGGCCACAAAATTTACATGGAATCAGTGAACAAGCCTGCAGAAAAGAAATCCGTTGAAAGTTACATAAATACATAGCAACTACATCAAGCTTGGGGAGTGCTTGAGCACTATTCTTAAAAAGATTTAGGGACTGTGAAAATATTTGACAAATATACTAAATATGCCTTTATCCTGTTTGCATAAAGTCTTTCGGTTAGCAGTATTGTTTGAGACAAGGTGTTGGGTTACAGTTCACTCATTCTCTCACTCAGTACTCCTCCTGTTTGTGGTCCAAGGGGGTAGCCCAGTGGTACGTCTTTGACTTGCAACATATGTTTCAACATGTTTTATTTGAGAGAAAGGGTGGCTGTATTAGGGCAAAAACTGGTTACATTCCTATGGAGGAGGTTATGCTTGTTTTTGACTGTGCATGAGCTACAGTCAGAGTTGAGTGTGGCTTGAAGGTTTATAATCAACTTCTGCTAGAGACTTGAAACGGTGAATGTTTTGGACAAAAGACATACTAGCCCTGATTTTGCATTTTTTTAATTAGGTATACCCACTTTATGATTAATTCTGCCCAATTTAGTAGAAACTGGGCTTTTTTAAAAAAATGTAATTAGTTTCAAGTGTCATGGTTTAACCTCACATGGCAGTTCTGACCCACACTGCTTGCTAGCTCATCCCTAGCAGGATGAGGGCAGGAATCTGGGTAAAAATGCAAACACTTGTGGGCTGAGATAAAGACAGCTTAATAGGTAAACATCAGAGCAAGAAAAGGAATTCATTCACTGCTTCCCATGGACAGGCAGGTGTGCAGGCATCCCCATGAAAGCAGGGCTCCATCACATGTAATGGTGACTTGGGAAGACAAATGTCATCACTCTGAATGTCTTCTTCTTCCCCCAGGTTTTATTGCTCTGCATGACAACATATGGTAAGGAAAGTCTCTTTGGTTGGTTGGGGTCAGGTGTCTGGGCTGAGTTCCCTCTGTTCCTTTCTTGTGCACCCCCAGCCTCTGTGCTGGCAGAACTGTGTGAGAAGCAGAAAAGGCATTGACTCTGTGTAGTCACTGCTCAGCAATAACTGAAATATTGCAGTGTTACTGACACTGTTTCCATCACAAAACTAAAACATATTCCCCCTATAAGCTACTCTGAGGAAATTTACTTCAAACCTAGCCAAACCCAATTCAGCTACTCACTGGACTTCACTAGGAAAAGATTTAAATGAAAAATTTTAAACCTTCACTGCATTCATAATCTGTTTTACAACTGTAAGTGGTAACATATTACAAGATTTTTATACTCTTACTACAAGGCTGATTTTTGATAACTTGTGGGACTCTTCTGTCTCAAACAGCTCATTTCAGATCCTTTCTAACCAAAGCCAGTGTTAAGGCTTCACGAGACTGTGAGTGGGGTATGTTGAGCTACAGCAGTTATTAATCTCCAGTTTGCAGCTACCGTCCTGACAAAACTGAGGATGTTTTGAGATCATGGCCTCCTTTAGCATGCTATTAATTGTAATCCAAAGATAAACAATTGGTTTGGTTTGAATGCCTGTCTGCAGCCTTTTGGAAGGCATTTCCTGGTCTCTCAAAAAATTTAGGCACAACATAAATCTGTGATGGCCCAGGATTCCAGGACATCCAGCTGCATAACAGAAGGGAAAAGTATCTATGTACCTTAAAATTTAACCATCTGAAATGCTGAGCAAGTGGTACCATCCTGCACATATGTACTTTCCCCAGACATAGCAGAGTTAATGAATAAATGTGTTGTAATCTTAGGTTCATGATTGTTCTTCAGAAGTTATTTATTGCATCATTGACCATTGCAAGCTCTACTACTGTACTGTTGTATTAAAACCTAAATTCTAACCTGACTAAA